TCTGTGGGGTGAGTTAGGGGAGTCTGCAAGGTAAGCAGTGGCATGGTTTGCAGGGTGAGTAACAGGAGGTCTGAGTAATAGGGGCTGTAGGGTGAGTGGTGTTTTTAAAATTAAGTTAGATGATTGTCTCATTAATTTTTAACCTCCCCTTGGGGATTTTATGTATGTTTATAAGCATTTTTTTTAATTGTTAAATTCCATTGTATTTTAACATCGGGTTTTATATTGTTGGCCCACGGAACATGCCTCTTAAGGACACTGAGTGTGCATCTCAAGAAGACCTTAGTGGATGGCGGTGGAGGACATTTAGGGAGGAGGGTCACTGCTTGGCGGTGATGGGCTGGGATCAGAGAGCTTCAGGGATAGGAGAACTTTGAGGGTCACATTGTAACACACTTGGGAGGGCCAATGCTGGGCCATCTCTAGGAGTCAGTAGAATGAGGTGCTGAAAGCCGCTGTAGTTTTGAGCGTAGTTGTAGCCAGTTGACTCCACTAGAGGCCTAGGGGATCAGTGATGATTTGTGAGTCTGACTGCATCGTTTTCTGGGTGGTGAGGGAGTGTTGCAGTCCTTCAGTCGGCCATTCTCTGGGTCCGTGTGAGACATGGTAAGGGTCAGTGATTGGCAGTTGAGCAGATCAATAATGGGTTTCCAGTTTGATAATATGGGGTCCTGTGGAATCTAACTAATGTCACTCCTTGGGACGCAGTAATTGGCAGTCAGGGTAAGAAACTATTTCAGGAGCCTGGGCCATGTCAATGACAGGGGCACAGTATTTTAGAAGCATCTGGCAATTCTGTGGTCCACCCTGTAGGGTTTTCCAAAGGTCAGTTCTGTCACTGACTGGATTTGGGCCCATTATGGACAGACCAGAGACAGTCCGTGACGGGGGGGTCCTGGATGCGGATCTGCAGGTTTCCTGGGTCATTTGGTCAAGGTAGGTGTTAGGTGTGGTGAATTTAAATCTTTATCTTTGTTAGAAGAGGCTGGGCTTTTCAGAGTGTCATGGGCGCTCACTGAAATGTCCATGAGCTCAGATTAGGTACACTAGGTATAGCCACCCCTCAGCCTGAACTCCAGAGGCTACAAGGTGTTTCTAGAAGGTAACCATGGAGAGTGGGGGCAGTGTCCAGTGTAGAATGAGGCAGATGTGGCACTGAGTCCCTGTTCTTTTATTTGTAAGCTGAGTGTCTTTTTGTTGTTGTTAGGTAGCGTCATTGGTTCCGACTCACAGTGACCCCGTGTACAACAGAATGAAACACTGCCTGGTCCTGCACCATCCTCACAATCCTTGCTGTACTTGAGCCTATCTTTGCAGCCACTGTGTCAATCCACCTCGTGGAGGGTCATTCCCTTTTTCACTGACCCACTACTTTACTAAGCATGGTATCTTTCTCCAGGGACTGGTCCCTTATGACAACATGGCCTGAGTATGTGCGAAAGGAGCATGGGATGGCATCCTCTGACCTCCTCTAACTTCATGGCGGGAAGAGAGAATCACCATCAGCAGCCCCAGGCTGATTCCTATAAGGTCAGACGTGCCGCCAACCCTCCAGCCTTCCACCAATTCTGACGCCAGCCGTCCCTCCCACGGTACTCACTACTTCTCTGCTGCGTTCAGTAATTCATTGCAATGGCCACACAGAACTCACAGACAATACTCATGAGTATGGGGTTTGTTAGGGAATCAGCAGGTTTCAATTCAGGCTCAGGAATGCTCAGGATACAGCCCTTCGATCAGGACAGCCTCCCCTCTGCTATGCTCTCAGGCACACCTCTCTTTGGCCCTGGGCCCCTCGGCCTGGCCTCTGCCCAACTCGAGCAAGTATTACAGAGCTCCTCTGGTCTGCTGAATGGTGCACCCTACTCCACCAGCCTCCTGCCCGAAGGCACTCAGCTTTCTCGCTCTGTGGGCCGGCAAGCCTGCCAGTCTGTCTCATGCTGGTCTCTTGGTTCTGTTGGATCTGACGGTACCATCTCTCTGCTGTTTCTCTCCCGTCTTAGTGTATGGATTATGGCTGCAAGGACACGCTCCACTCCCAGCTGCTCTTCCTTGCTGGCAGTGATATCCCCTTTTTCCACCTCTGGGATGGGTCATTTTAAATCTAGCAAGATAGCAAAACCAGCCAATCCCCGCGTTAGGGCTCCATACTCCTTATTTGCATGGCCGCACCCCACAAGGGCACCAGGTATCTTGTTTATATTATTAACAAGCTTTCCAATCCCCTTGTGGGCCACAGGCACCTCACATTTACAGAGTTCCACCCAGTTATCTGGTGGGAGTCACAAAGACCATGGCTGGAAGGGCCAGCTCAGGTCCTTCCCCGCACCACGCTAACCATGTGGTCATTGCCTTTCCAGGGCATCTTGGCGTCTCTGCAGAGCCCCTGGGTCTGGCCGCCACATCATTGAGGTTCTAGGATCTTGTCAGGCCTGCCCTCCTTTCCTCAGCAGCTCTGATTAGAGCCTTCTGATGCCTACCCAGCTTCAGGATCCTGGGGAAGGGGACTTGGCAGCAAGAGAGACCAGAAGTTGAAGGCCGCAGGGGCCATGTCTTCTGATGTGAATTTGCCCTGGAGGCCCCAGGCCCCAGGTCCAGAGGAGGAGGACCAGTGGCGCCAGGTAAGCAGGAGCAGCTGTAGGGACAGTTCTCCCGAACTGGAGGGCAGACACGGGGAGATGTGGACTCCCTGCCCCCGAGATCGTCTTGATCTTCCCGCTGAGAGCGAAGCACTGACGTCCCCACACCCAGAGGCCACGTGTGTTGCAGAGGAAACCTGAACCAGCTGCTGAAGGAGGGTGCCTTACAACGGGGGTTGCTTTCTGCAGGAAGCGAGGCGCCTGCTCTGGGTGGGAAGCCCCAGCCACAGGTGGGAAGACGGTCACCCTTCCCCTGCTTTGCACAGCCTCAGCTTCGGCATCTGCCGGTGGATCTCCCAGAGTCTTAGCTGATCCTCTGAAGATGCCGCCTATTCGGCGTTCAGGGATTGGCCCATTTCTCATGTCTCCTCCTACTCGGCATTCGGGGATTGGCCCGTTTCTCATGTCTCTTCCTATTCAGTGTTCAGGGATTGGCCCGTTTCTCATGTCTCTTCCTATTTGGTGTTCAGGGATTGGCCCATTTCTTATGTCTCCTCCTACTTGGCATTCGGTGATTGGCGTGTTTCTCATGTCTCTTCCTACTCAGCATTCAGGGATTGGCGTGTTTCTCATGTCTCTTCCTACTCAGCATTCGGGGATTGGCCCGTTTCTCATCTCTCCTCCTACTCGGTGTTCCGGGATTAGCCCATTTCTCGTCTACCCTGATAAGGTGCAGAAAATCCCCTTCACAGCCCATAGTCTCAGGAGGTAGACAGAGTAAGAACAGGCTTTTCAGGGCCATGTGGTTTTTCTTGTTTAAAGCAGGAAAAACAATGCCCAGGGATGGTGTTTCCAAATTTCCAACAGATCCTAACATTTGAGATTTCAGACTTCTCACTTCTGGTTTTAAGTTTCACCACCTCTCAGTTTCACCAGTTCTCATTCACTCCCAAGCCCAATTTGCTTTTCCCTAATCCAGACCTGTGTATGGTCTGCTGTGTGTCTATTTCTAACCATAGTTGAATTTGTACGTTTAGTTCCTTTCCAAGTCTCCAAGTTGCTGGGAGGGTAGAAGGTTACATAATTCTATATTGAGTCCACAGGATCCAGCGTAATATCCAGTAAATAGCTGCTTAATAAACCTAATGTAGGTTATTTCTAAGTTAGAGGACTTATACCAAAACCACACTCACTGCCATCGCGTCGATTCCAACTCCTAGCCACTCCCGTTGGGTTTCCCAGACTCTGCATCTTTGCAGAAGTAGACTGCCCCATCTTCCTTCCACAGAGTGACTAACCTTGTGGTTAGCAGTCAAATGCCTTAGGCCCTGTGCCACCAGAGCTCCTTAAGTTAGAGGACTTAGACCTGTATAAATCCTCATTTTTGACAAAAGAATGACTGAATGAATGTAGTGTACAATGAATGACAAGGTGTTTCTATACGTTACTTTTTTTTTTTAATCCCGAAAAGTGTAATGTGAAGTGGGTATGTAGAGGAAGCTGTGCTGACGCCCAGGCACTGGTGGTTCAGGCGTAGGACCCTGCCTGCCGTGTGGGAGGCCCGGGGTCGGTTCTCAGCTGCTGCACGTCATGTGCACCACCACCCGTCTGTCAGTGGAGGGACACGTGTTGCTTTGATGCTGAACGGGTTTCAGCGGAGCTTCCAGACCGAGACTGACTAGGAAGAAAGGCCTGGTGATCCACTTCCGAAAATCAGGCCCTGAAAACGCTGTGAATCACCGCGGTCTGATCCACAGTTGATCACAGCGAGGGGGCAGGATGGGGCTGCGTTTGGTGCCACCGTGCCTGGGGCTGCCGTGGGTCAGAGGCTGTCCTAACGCCAGCTGACCACAGCCGTGTGATTGATGCGTCACTGTGAAAAGTTACTGAAACAACTCCCCGTGTGTAACGGCCCCTCCCCAATGACAACTAATTTATATTGAGCTTCAATATGTTGTTAAGGGACCAGTGTCATTTGAGGACGTGATGGTGGACTTCAGCAGGGAGGAGTGGCGGCAGCTGGACCCTGCCCAGAGACGCCTGTACCTGGAAGTTATGCTGGAGAACTATAGCCACTTCCTCTCCATAGGTGAGCACGCCTGACCTAGGTGAGCACATGACCTAGGTGAGCACATGACCTAGGTGAGCACGCCTGACCTGGGAACGTTGAATGGGCCTCATGGAGGGGATTTCCTCCCATCCTGTGGGGTGCAGTTGGGACATCTGAACTATCTAATGGCTTTGTCCTTGGTTTGTCCCAGGTGGTTTGTTCCTTTTGGGCACCCTTGTTCTCAGGGAAAAGTGTTGACTTTTCTGATGAGCAAGTGGAAAGCTTCATTGAATGGCCTAAAACTCAAGATGTTACACCCAAGTCTGATACCTTTTTTCTTTAACAGGGTACGACCTTCCCAAACCAGAGGTCATCTTCAGGTTGGAAAGAGGAAAGCAGCCATGGATGGTGGGGCTTGACCTCCCACGTTTGAGCCGTCAAGGTGAGTGGCTGTTCCCAGGGCAGGCAGGAGATCAGCTGTGCTGGGAAGAGCTCATGCCTTGGAAGTTATATTAAGGAAACCAGAAGGTAGTAACATCCCTGGGTGGCACTTGACTACTAGCTCGACTGGTAGCCTAAGTTGGCAGTTCAGACCCACTCAGACGCTCCTCAGAAGACAAGCCTGGTGACCTGCCTCCAAAAGGCCACAGCCTTGCACACCCGCTGGAGCAGTTCTACTCTGCACACATGGGGCCGCCATGAGTTGGAATTCACTCAACAGCAACTAACAACAGAAGGTAATAAACTTTAGGACGGCTTAAGGGTGTCTGACACTGGCCCCTCGTGTGGCTAATTGCCATCTCTGTTGGACCTTCTGGCCATGTTGGCTCTCTCCTTTGCTTGACTCTTTGGTGGGAGAGCAGCCTTCATCTCCTCGTAGGCTAGGATGCCAGTCTGCCTCCTCAGTACTTCCAGCTCTCCTCCCCTCACATTCTTACTCCATTTACCGCCCCATGATCTTTGACGTTTTCCTTCACATGAATTCACAGACCTGCCTTCTTCCAGAATCACTGTGTCATGCTCTCGCTGCTGTGTGTTTTGTTTCATTTTCTTGCCTCGTCGCCGGGAGGTGCCTCAAACTATCATCAGCAACCTTCTGTCTGTACCACGGCCATCAGATTTCTCACTCACTGCCCACTCCCCTTCTCCCCAAGCCACTCTCCCTACCCTTGACTTCGTTATCATTGTGACTTACCTTTTGGTGTGCTTTTAATTTTTCTCTTTTTGACATTAACAAGCCCTTCTGACATTTCCTCTCAGTGTGCTATAGTGACCCACCCAGAGAGAGCACCTCTGATTAGTGGGTCTATTTCTATTCCTGAGGTTTGCACTTCACACGAGCGTTGAGTTCTTTGCAGTTCCCAGTGCAAAGGCAGACCAGCATCGTCCCTCTAGATGAGGACCTTGCACTTGGGGACTTGGGTTTATCTTTATCTCTGTGCCCACCCCATTTTCCTCCCTGTACCGAGGCAGCTGTTCTAATGAGTTTGCTCTGTTTGAGCTGGTGGTCTTGTGAAGACTCAAGCACTGCTGTGTGTGTCTTTTCAGTTTAG